GGGGCAAGACTTGTTTCAGGGGGGCTTTGGTGCTCACTTAGTCTGCCCCCTGATGTGTCCTTTATGGATCCAAGGAGCTGCAATCTGGATGGTCCCACTCTGACCACTGGGCACACTGGCTCCTGGATCTCTAAGTAGGTGCTAATCTAGCCTCTGCCTGAGGCTATCCAGCAGGAGCCAGCTGTGAAGCAATGCAAGTTGCCCTGGGGTTTGGGGTAGCTGCAGTTTGTTATGTAATTATCAGATTGCAAAGGGCCAGGCCTTTCATATGCAAAAGCCTCCATTCATGGCATGGGTGGGGCGGGGTCCCAGGGGATCAACAGGGAGGAGCGAGCAGTTATGGCTGCTCTCAATCCTACCCTCAGAGGCCCTGGTTCTCAGTGTCCCAGCAATCGCTGCAAGCACCCCTGAGAGAAAGCTGCCCTCGAGTTCCAACTGATGCTGGACAGTCCAGTTTCTCCCGTATGAGTCTAGTTCCCCAGAGACTCGCCCAGAACTGGAGCTCAGAGCTTGAGACTCCCTCCCGATTGAAAAAGACAAGCGTGTCCTCAGCCCCCAGCCCTCTCTGCATGTGCCTCTGTACTTCTGTATTTTACTTCCGCATGGCACCTCCTTGGAGTCTCGGTATGCTTTTTTCTTTCCTTCTAGTTGTAGAATTTCCACTCAGCCAGTCTTCCTGTGGTTCTGGATGATGTCTGTTCCGTCTTTTAGTTGTGTTTTTGTAGTGGTTGTGCGAGGCAGCAATCTCTGGTGTTTACCTATGTCACCATCTTGGTTTCCTGGTGTTTCTATCTCTCTCTCCGTCACCTTTTCTCTCTCTAAAAATTAATAGACTTAAAAAATTAACTTGGAGCTATAATCCATATTCATTATTGAGTAAAGAGAAAATAGACATTAACAAAAATATAATAAAATTACCTATTATTCTTATCACTTTGAGGTGTCTTACTATAAACATCTGTATTCTAACATTTTTATATGGATGGGGTTGGCAAAGCAGGCTTACAGTTGTGAGTACTCAAAACAGTTTATGCTTATTATTTAATAATTATTGCATTATTTTCATACCAACAACTGTGAACTCACTTTTTTTTAAAAAAATATTTTATTGATTTTTTTACAGAGAGGAAGGGAGAGGGATAGAGAGCCAGAAACATCGATGAGAGGGAAACACCGATCAGCTGCCTCCCGCACGTCCCCCACCGGGGACGTGCCCGCAACCAAGGCACATTCCCCTGACCGGAACCGAACCCGGGACCCCTGAGTCCGCAGGCCGACGCTCTATCCACTGAGCCAAATTGGCTCTGGCTGTGAACTCACTTTTAACCCACCCCATATATAGTATACTTTAAGCGTTTCATGCTGTACGTGCTATTCAGTATTCTGCCTTTTTCACTAATGGTCTTTTTGAACATCTGTAACAAGGAGTATGCTTTAACAGATTTTATTTGTGTACCTGAGGCCTGGTGCATGAAATTCGTGCATGTGTGGGGTCTCTAGGCCTGGCTGGTGATCAGGGCCTATTGGGGCTTTCTGGCTGCTAGCCGCGGCCTTCTTTCCAGCTGCCAGCTGCCGGCCAGAGCCTGCCGGATGGGGGGAGGGGCCACGGGAGGTTGGCTGGCTACGAGAGGTTGGCTGTGGGAGCACACTGACCACCTGGGGACAGCTCTTGCATTGAGCATCTGCCATCTGGTGGTCAGCGCATCATAGTGACCAGTAGTTTCAATCGTTCCGGTGTTCTGGCTGCTTAGACTTTTATATAGATAGATCATATATATATACACACACATATATATTACCAATACTTAAATGGTTTTATATTCCATATGCTATTCTACATATGAGATCCTTTTATCATTTTTAATAGTTTTTGAACATCTCTCTGGTCACAGTGAATTTAGAACTCTAGCATTGTTTTTCTTCAAAGGGTACAAAGTGTGCTATAATTTATTTACTGTGTACCTTGTTGTTGGAAGCCAAAGATTCTTTTTTTTCTCTGTTATAAATAAAATGTGTTGAATACTTATACATATAGTTTCTATTTACTTGTTCCTATTTCTCTAGGATAAATTTCCAGAACTGGAATTTCTGTTCCAATGATAAATACACTTTAAAGACTTATGACAAGTATATTGCCATTCAGGAAAATTGTACTGTTGTATAATGTTACCAACAGTGTATAAGAGTACCCATTTTCCCGCTAGTTTAGATGGAGATAATCTCCTTTCCTTGCTTTAGCTGATACATATTATGATGTCCAGCCCACCTCACTGGTCTATGTTTATGGACTTTTGTTATTGCACCTTTGCTTATGCTGTCTTATCTTTTCGGAATGATGTTCCCCTCCTTTGTCTGACTAATTTTATTTGTCTTTTAGACTATAAGACTGGGAAATTTATAAAACTTTGTATTTCCAAGGCCACTGGTTGATCAAGGATATTCTTTTCATAGGAAGTTTATATTTGAAATAATGAAGCCACCCAGCGGCGTTGCTCAGTGGTTGAGTGTTAACCTATGAACCAGGAGGTCATGGTTCAATTCCTGGGCAGGGCACATGCCCGGGTTGCAAGCTTGATGCCCAGTAGGGAGTGTGCAGGAAGCAGCTGATAAATGATTCTCTCTCATCATTGATCTATCTATCTCGCTCCCTCTCCCTTCCTCTCTGAAATCAATAAAAATATATTTTAAAAAAGAGAAATAATTAAGCAATCCCAAACTGGGATATAACATAGATTTTCCAAATTTGTCTTTTTTCTCAGGGCTGGGAGAACAGTTTCAGAATAAATGGCTATTAGCTAAAATCTCAAACTTTGGAATCCCCTGGGTCTGTGGCATGATTTAACATTCTTTTTTTTTTTAAGATTTAAAAAATTGATTTTTAGAGAGAGAGAGAGAAAAGGAGAGGGAGAGAGAAATATTGATGCGAGAGTGAAACACTGATCAGTTGCCTCCTACACGTCCCCCACTGGGTTTAAGACCACAACTCGAGCGTGTGCCCTGACTGGGATCGAACCAGCAACCACTGGGTGCACAGAATGACACCCAACCAACTGAGCCACACTGGCCAGGGCTGATTTTACATTCTTGTGTCTGTTTTCTGTCTTTTAAGGCTCCAAGTTTTATTCTGGTTGAGTTTCTCCAATGGCAAGGGTGAGGGTGGCAGAGGAGGAGTAGTAGTTTGTCAGTCCTGCTGCCTGGTAGATTACTATGGAGGCCTTGGCAAGGGTGGGGATTAATAGGGAGGGCATATTGAAGTGCTCAGTAAATGTGGAATGTAGCTCTGGAAAACCCCAGACTGGCCCTGAGGACTGATGCTGGACTTGATAGAAACCAGAAATTAAGACTATGGTGTGTAGGCCAAGGAAGCTATAATAGTAGATAGAACAGCAGCATGAATCCGAGACTACTTTTCTGCTTTCAAGATTTGATGGGCTCTACTTGAGAAATCTGGGAATTTGTATTATATTCTAACATGCCACCAACTCCATTGTTAGCAGACTATATGCCAAAATGCTACCGTACATGTCCTTATAATAACAGTTGGCTCATATATGTTTGGAAGATAGGAAAATGATAGTATAGAATAGAAGTTTTGAATTCATATGCAATTTCCTAGTTTAGGAAAGCTGGGAAAATGGAGTGGAATCATAACATTTAGCTGGAGAGGAAGAACTCCTGAATTCAGCTATAAAGAAAGCAAGAGCCTTTTCAGCAACATTTAAAGAAAATTAGAAATGTGTGCCTATGCCCAGGGCTCCTTCCCTAAGATGCACACTCTAGCCACACCTTGGTTTCACCATCGGCAGGCTGCTTCCTCTGTTCCTCCTCCCTTTGTGTTGTCTCAGCTCCCTAGCTTCCCACTCTGTTGCTGTGATGCAGTGTACCATCCCCTTGAGACTGCCTCAGCCCACTCCAAGATGTTTTCCTGGGCATTCAAATGATTTCCCCAGGTGCAGATTATGACTTTTCTTTGTCTTAGACTCTTCAAAGCATTTTTCTTTATTGATTGTTTTAGCCCTTTGCTCCTTCTCTCCTTTCTTCCTATGCCAGTCTGCTCGACTCCCCCTTCAGCTTCTTTGTTCGTATGAAATGATGTTTATAAAGTTAGGAAAATTTTTATTTTGGCAATTTGCATTAGAAGAACAGATTAAGTTTAAGAGCTCTTATATTTTAATATTAAGGATTTTCATTATATAATTTAATCAAAATTAGCATTAAAAGATACAGCAAATACAGAAAAGTAAAATGTGTTGATTAATAATATATAAGCATGACTATATTATATCATTTATAAACATACATATATTTATATAAAATATATAAATTCATGAATAGCATTATTATTGTGCTAATTCTGTTTTCCTCCAGGAGGATCAGGATGGAAGTCAAGGTCTGGGCAAGAGAAAAAGGGTCAAACTAAGCAGTAGCACCAAAGGTATTTATATTTTATTTTTAACTTGTATAAAAAGTTTCTAAATGCTTAATCTCTAAGAACACTTGATTGGCTATTCGTATTGACATCCGAGGTGTGTTTGAAAAGAGTTATGTTATTATATTTGTCAAATAATGGAGAAACTGTCTTTAGGGGGTGATTTTGGGGGACCTCAAAAGCAAGTAAAACCCTTACTATTGGGATTTTGTTATATGTTTTTTAAAATAAAATGTTCATTATCTTTTTTGAGCCAGAAAAATATAAATCATTTCATTAATAGTTTGATTTGGAGCCAGTGTTTTAGGTGTACAGTTTTAGTTGGATTACATCTTTTTATAATTTGGTATATGCATTCTAAAGTGAAAATGACAGATAAGGTAGAGATGGTGAAAGAGAGAATGTGAATAAATGAATGTGCCCTGATTGGGACTCAAACTAGTGACGTCTTGGTGCATGGGGTGATGCTCAACTACTGAGCAAAACTGGCTGGGCAATTGAGTACTTGTTTCTAGTTGGCAGCCTGCACTTGGAATTTTTGCCACGGTCAGAAGTTTAACATGTCTATTGTCTGGGTTAACATGGTCTCCAAGAGTCTCCAGAGGTTAAAATAATATTTTGATGAAAACAAGCTTCTTATTTCTGGTGCTAATTAAGTATATCTTGTGGAATATTTGGAACTGCTTGGAAAGGTGGAGCAAGTGGGTAGTTTTAGTTGAGGCTTGTTTTATAAGTGTTCTTAGTTATATAGGCTGCTGCATTTAACTTGTGGACTACTAGCAAAGCGCATGAAATTTGGTCTGCAGTCCAGGATGCAAACATACTCCTACAAACATGTGTCCCTTCTCCCTGGCTCAGCAGAGAAGCTGTGATCCCTGAAAAAATAGAAACCCATATGGCTACCTGACCCTTTGACTTACTTGAGTTGTCCATGTTTTTACCTAAATCCTTGAGATACATCTGAGTTGGAGTAGATTCATTACCTGAGCGAGATGTGGTGTTAACACATTGCTCAACAATAGAAGAACTGTGAAATTGGGTAGGGTTAATTGAAAAAACTCTACAAGGTTATCCTGCAAGACAACTTGATCTGTAATGTAGTTATGGCTGTACCTGCATATTTTGGTGCATGTGATACTGTTTTTTTAAAAATCTCTCATCTAGTTCCAGTTCCTGCTTAAGCACCATCACTGAACTAGTCTGCTCACAGTTGATATTTGCTATATCCTTTTGATGTCCTTATATAGAGATGATGATTCAGAACAGTAGCCCAAGATCATTTGCTCCAACAGAGATTAATAGTCAGAATTAGTTCATTCTTAGGGAGAAAATTGGTGAAAGTGAAAGAGATAGGTAAAGTATTAAACATATTTCGTCCATCGTATTTGGTTGAGACGTTGCTGTTGACTAAGTATGGCAAAGATTCAGAGTTTAGCAAGAGACAGCCTTAGCCTTCAGGGATTGGCAGTTGGCTTTAGAAATAGGCTTTCTAGTAGAAATTTTATCCCCCTTTGAATACTTTTATTAGAAAGGGGCATTGTATACATGAAGAGGAACTCTTGAGTCTAGTGCAAGTAAGCATATTTAGCACTCTTTATACTTTGCCTGGTATATTTTTACTAGAAAAAAGTAAATGCTTCTGCATACTATGGTAAGCAATGCATTAGTAATTATTCTTTCTGGTGAAATTAGTATTTCTTTTATGAAGGATAATTTTGAAGAAATAAATTACTGAATTTGTAAAGATTTCCCCTCTTTTTTTAAAAATTAAAAAATTTAGATTTGGATTTTATGTCCTTAATAGTATGTTTTTAGCTTAAAACCATTATTATCATTTAATTAGTTAATTAGTTAATTAATTTAAATTTTTGGGGGTGACGTTGGTCAACATGAACGTACATATAGGTTTCAGGTGTGGGTTTCTATGTTACAATATCTGTATATTGTACCATGTGCCCACCATCCAAAGTCACATCTTCTCCTGTCACCATATATTAGGACCCCATGCTTCCCCCACCCCCTTCCCTCTGGCAATCACTGCACTGCTGTTTGTGTTCATAAGTTTCATTTTTGTTTCCCACAGATAAGTGAAATCATAGAGTTCTTAGCTTTTTCTGACTGACTTACTTCACTTAGCATAATGTTCTCAGGGTCCATGCATGTTGTTGCAAATGGTGCTACTTCATCCTTTCTTATGGCTGAGTAGTATTCCATTGTGTATATGTACCACATCTTCTTTATTCAGTCCTCTATGGCAGGACACTTTGGTTGTTTCCATGTCATGGCCACCGTAAATAATGCTACAATGAACATAGAGGTGCATATATCTTTCCGAATACATGATTTTGAGTTTTTCGGGTATATACCCAGAAGAGGGATTGCTGGATCCTTAATTTTTTGAGGAATCGCCAGACTGCTGTCCATAGTGGTTGTATCATTCCCACGAGCAGCGAATGAAGAGTCCCTTTTTCCACAACCTCTCCAACACTTGTTATTGTTTGTCTTGGTGATAATGGCCATTCTAACAGGTGTGAGGTGGTATCTCATTGTAGTTTTGATTTGCATTTCCCTAATTGGCAGTGAGGTTGAACATCTTTTTTTTTTTTTAATTAAATCTTTATTGTTCAGATTATTACAAAGAGAAAACAAAACAAAAACAATACACACACACACACACACACACACACACATATTGATTTCAGGGAGGAAGATGGGGAAGGGGAAGGGAGAAGGAGAAACATCAATGATGAGAGAAAACATTGATTGGCTGCTTCCTACATGCTCCACACGGGATTGAGCCTGCAACCCGGGCATGTGCCCTGAACGGGAATCAAACCGTGACCTCCTGGTTCATAGGTTGATGCTCTACCAATGAGCCACATTGACCGGGCCCTCTGCCCACTTTTTGATTGGGTTGTTTGTTTGCTTGGTGTTGAATTTTATGAGTTTTTTTTTTTTTTATATATATTGGAAATTAAACCATTGTCGGAACTACTGTTTGCAAGTATCTCCCCTCTGGTTTGCTGCCTCTTTGTTTTGTCAGTTTCTTTTGCTGTGCAGAAGCTTTTTAATTTGATATACTAGTCGTCCCTTTCATTTATTTTTGCCTTTACTTTCCTTGCCTTTGGAGTTAAGTTCATAAAGTGTTCTCTACTACTAAGGTCCATTAAGTTTTATACCTATGTTTTCTTCTATGTAACTTATTTTTCAGATCTTATATTTAGGTCTTTGGTCCATTTTGAACTAATTTTTATACATGGGGACAAACTGTAATCCCATTTCATTCATTTGCATTTGGTTTTCCAATTTTCCCAGCACCATTTATTGAAGAGATTACCTTTACTCCATTGTATGTTTCTGTCTCCTTTGTTGAAAAGTATCTGTTCATATGCATATGGTTTTATAGCTGGGCTCTCTATTTTGTTCCATTGATAATTATTACTGTTTTAAATTAGGTATCGTGAATATTGTTCTTGTAAGATTAATCTTAGTAGAAATTTTAGGTAAATGGTTTATGTTTAAGGATAAGTAATTATTTTTTAAGTAACTGCTTTATCTTAAAACATAGGGGTTAGTATCTTATTATTTATAAACTGTGGAGATGATAGAAACCTAGCTTGATATTGTAAATATTATCATTGAATTATTGAAAAGGTAGCCTTAGTGTTTAGATACATTTGGTGTTTGGGGTTGATGGGTTATTAATTATAGTAAGGTTTAAATGAAATGAGAAACTTAAATCATTAGACAATAAAATTTTTTTTAAACACAGATCAATCCATAATGGATGTTTTGAAACATAAAAGTTTCCTAGAAGAACTATTGTTTTGGACTATAAAATATGAATTCCCTCAGAAGATGGTAACTTTCTTACTCAATATGCTTCCAGATCAAGAGTATAAGGTATATACATTTCCCCCCCTTCCTTTCTGAACTTTGCTCCCTATTCTTTGCCCTTTCTCTACTAAATTTTAAAAAAATATATCTCAGCTATGGCTTATTGTGTTGTAGCTCTGAGGACTGATATAACACTGTGAAAGAACATAGGGTCTGCAGAAGAAGCATAGTATCAAAGATCTGTGGCAAAGCACCACTGTTAAACAGAATTCCTAAGGGTTGCCTTTCTGCATGGAACTTGGTCCAAAGGAATGCTGGGTGACAAACATAAAAACAATTGCTCAAATAAATATGTTGTTACAAATTCTTTGAAGGAGAGGTACAGATGCTATGAGTATGTTTAATGGGGGCAATTGAATTTAGATTGTGGGGTTAGGTATGGGAAAACATGGAATTAGTAGCTGCCTGCTGTAAGTTAAATACAGAACAGTTATTAACTAATGTACTCATGTAGGTAGATGAAGTCTCTAGTCCCAGAGTGTCTGAACTCACCTGTTACTACTGTATAGTTATGGCAAAGTGACATAGCCTAGTGTATGAAAAAGAAAGTTAATCATGCTATAGTTCTTTTAATGGCTTAGGAAATAGGGCCTCACTTTAATAATGCCATTGTTTGGTGATGTTATAACTGCTTAGGAAAATAACAGAGGAAATAAATGTACATGTTACACAGAAAGAATATTTAGTTAGATTAGTGGTCTTTCTGAACAAATAGGAGAAGATATTTCTTTTGGAGTAATCACATTGACTCACTTGTTAAGTTATATGAAATCTGTGATAGTTTTTAGCTGAGACTTTAGATTTTGTTTTTAAAGTAGGTAGCCCAGAACAGAGAAATATTTTGACAATAAATTGATTTATTTATGAGCATAGTGAGAATTTGTATTTTAAACTATGGTATTTGTAGTTGCTTTAAAATTTTAATAATTTAAAATGCCTATTAAATTTTTTTTTAATCATCAAAATATTTTGCTGATGTTTCAAAAAATGGGGAAATATGACGTAAGACTACTGTCATCATTGAAATTATTTTTTCAGTTACCTTGGACATCATCACAAACTAATAATAGTTTAATATGGTTAATGTAATATATTGGAAAATGTGTAATAAAAGTCAAAGTTAAATTAATGTGTTTTTTTTCTATTTAAAACATTTACAGGTTGCTTTTACAAAAACTTTTGTTCAGCATTATGCCTTCATTATGAAAACACTGAAGAAAAGTCATGAATCAGACACGATGTCTAACAGAATTGTTCATATTAGTGTTCAGTTGTTCAGCAATGAGGAGCTAGCAAGACAGGTAACAGAAGAATGTCAGCTGCTGGATATTATGGTCACTGTGCTATTATACATGATGGAAAGTTGCCTTATTAAAAGTGAGCTACAAGGTAAACTCAGAATTATTTTCACTAGTTTTATTAGTATACTGTGTATACCTACTCTTAAAACCTCCTTGTGTGTTTAAAAATAGCTTTCAAAATATTATAAAATAGTACATATTTGTAAAAGAAATTTTTGGAAAATTTTCAGTAACCTTTAAAACAAAACTTTAAAATCACCTGTAGTTTGGAAGCCCCAGTCACCTAATGGATAAGGCATTGGCCTCCTAAAATCACCTGTAGTTTTGTTATTCACAAATAACTTGTTAACATTTTGGGATATTTTCTGTCATTTTGTATGATGATATTTATATGTATATATACATACATACTTAAAAATATGTTACCATAGTGTACATGTCAAGAATATGTGTTTTAATGGTTGCAGGTATTAATATCATATGGCTTTACTATAATTTAAACATTTCCTAATTAGATATGTTTCTTTTCTTATAAATTTTTTACTATCAGACATTTTACTATACCTATACTTTTTATAATGTAAAAGTTGAATAAATCTTGACTTTCCTGTGCTGCCATAGTGAATCTTTGATTTTCTTATTTTGTGCCCACTGTATGGTTGATACTCCTCAAATTGTCGTATATTTCTAGGACCTTATTACATTCTCATTTCTCTGAAGTCTTTCATCTTGACTTTACCTCCCTATAATAATGTATATTATGTGAATGTTTGCTATGTATTAGGAACTGTGTGAATACTATTTGTATGTTGTTTTAATTAAACTTCTGAACAACTCTCTGAGATTGATATTGTTACTATCCCCACTTTAAAGATGAGTAAATTGAGGCGTAGTGAAGTTAGTTCATTTGCCATAGAGTATACAGCTAGTAAATGACAGAGCCAAGATTCAGAATTCATATCCTCTGATTCAGAATTTTTGTTCTTCACCATGACAAGCCAGGCCAACATTGATAAGACTGTGTCTTCTCTTGTTGGCACCTGGAGTTATTAACCTTTAAAATAACAACAACCAGTACTTCAGATTAAATCTTAGGACCTTCCCATTTTCTGTAGTTGAGACTTGCTTTGTTCCAATGTTGCCTTCTTCTGCATATCATCTCCTATGGTCTGTTTTCAGATGTGATACCATAGCCTGAAAGTTGATATATGCTCAGTGCAGGGCACATGCTTTATGAGTAATAATAGCTAGCTAATAATTATGATAGCTACTATCTTTTGAGCAGTCATTGTATGCTATGCTCTTTTCTCAGTACTTTATATGTATTATAGATATTGCTTTCTCCATTTTATAGATGAGGCAATTATGGCTTAGGGAATTAAATCAATATTTTATAGTTTTACAGCTGTAAAGATGTACAGCTGGGTGTTTCACTTCAAAATTCATACTTTTGCCCACTGTGGGACTATTTTCCCATTGTAGGTATAGTGGGAGAATAATACATTTTATACATTAAGCCAGGGGTCCGCAAACTACGGCCCGCGGGCCACATGCAAATACAAATATTGTATTTGTTCCCGTTTTGTTTTTTTACTTCAAAATAAGATATGTGTAGTGTGCATAGGAATTCGTTCATAGTTTTTTTTTAAACTATAGTCTGGCCCTCTAACGGTCTGAGGGACAGTGAACTGGCCCCCTGTTTAAAAAGTTTGAGGACCCCTGCATTAAGCAATATACCTCTTCACCTCTTTAAAGGAAAATTTAAAATCCACGTTGTGTTATAGTTTTTCTATCTTCATGTAAGACGACCTTTTATTTCTTAGAGATTTAACTACTATACATATTGCTCTTTCTTTTATTTTTGAAAAGGCCTTTTAAAAAGTAGTATTTTTAATTTATAAACAAGAAAACTTCTTAAATTTAGAAGTATCTGCTCTTTTGAAAAGAATCTGGAGTCTATTTTGTTGACTAAATGATTCTGCTGTGCTTCCATTATATGGTTTTATTTGGTCTACAAAGAAGAATATTTGGGAAGAAGAATATTTGTATATGTGTCTGCCTCCCATTTTTTTTCCATAGGCAACTTTCCAGAGAGAGTTTTTGAATTTGTTTTGTTATCTCTAATCACTCAATAACTTACCTCAATCTAGTGTCTGCTTCCATCATTCTGTTGTTCTTTCTAAAATTGTCGACGACTCCAGTGGCCACATGTCCTATGTTCCCAAAACAGCCCCAAATTATGCCTGTTGTTCTGATATAGTTATTTTTTAAAAAAAATATATTTTATTGATTTTTCACAGAGAGGAAGGGAGAGGGACAGAGAGCCAGAAACATCGATGAGGGAGAAACATCGATCAGCTGCCTCCTGCACACCTCCCACTGCGGATGTGCCCGCAACCAAGGCACACGCCCTTGACCGGAATCGAACCTGGGACCCTTCAGTCCGCAGGCTGATGCTCTATCCACTGAGCCAAACCGGCTAGGGCCTGATATAGTTATTAATATAATCTCTTTTAGTCTCAAAAGAGTCCCAGTTTATATAATACATTACATTGTAGTCCTTTCTATGGCCTACATCAGGGGTGGGGAATCTTTTTTCTGCCAAGGGCCATTTGGATATTTATAATATCGTTCTTGGGCCAAGCAACATTATCAACTTAAAAATTAGCCTGCTATATTTGGTTGAACATTTAATTAACTCACCACTCATGCCTTGGCAGGGCCAGACCAAATGACTTCCATGGGCCAGATGTTCCCCACCCATGGACATGATGAAGAAATCAGTGGCCACTCTTTGGACCTTATCTTGTTTGATTTTCAGTAGCGTTTCACACTATTGATTTTCTGCTCTTTTTGTGGCCCAGTACTCTTTTCTACTTGTCATATTGATGTTGGTGTTTCTTGGCACTTGGTCCTGATAGTTCTGTTCTTCTCATCTTCCCCATATTTTGTGAAATCATATTGCATGGTCTTATTTGTTTTCTATATATGCTTCCCTTCTAGTGCTGGAAATTGGTCTGTCCTGGAAATTCTTGTACAAGTTGAATGTTCTAGAAGCTAAATAGCTATAGGTAACTTTTCTAAGATCTTTAAATACAAATGTGTTTTTTCTAGTAAATTACATAATTTCTGAGCCCAGGTCTAAAATTATCTTTAGCTGCTATGCTTTTTTTTTACTTTAAAAAATAGTATAGCATTTCATAGTACGTATTTACTGGTTTTATAAAAGCATCATAAGTTATTCTCATTTTTGCATGAGTAGTATTGGAATGAGCTTTAAATATATTAAATATAACTAGCCACAGATATCACAACAGGATCTCTATACTTTCTTTTTAATTTTTTTTTGACAGTCTCCATCTAGCCTTTGCATAAATTGAAAGTTTTTTCTGTTCTATTAGTAAATACAGGAGCCGACACAATGAGAATTCAATGACCACAGCAATAGCTGAAGATTTAAAGGAAAAAGCCTCACCCTGGCTGGTGTGGTGCCATTCTGTGCACTGAAATGTTGCTGGTTTGATTCCGGGTCAGGGTGTGCAGGAGGCAGCTGATCAATGTCTCACTTTCACGTTGATATTTCTCTTTCTCCCTCTCTCTCCCACTCTCTCTAAAAGTCAATAAAAAGATATATTTTTAAAAAACAGGAAAAGCCTTGCCTTGGCTGGTGATTCAGTTGGTTAGAATGTCATCCCTTTACACCAAAGTTTTGGGTTTGATTTCTGGACAGGGCACATCAATGATTCTCTCTTGCTCTTTTCTGTCCGTTCTTTCTCTAAAATCAATAAATAAAAAATTAAAAAAGATTTTTAAAAAAGGGAAGAGCATCTGCTAATGACCCCTACATTACATTTTTATTTTGTTGTATTCATTTCTGCACCATACCACTGTGCTGTCCCAAACATAATTCATAACTTCAAATTCCTGAAATTTTACCGTTTGCCTTTTAAATCAGTCTGGGTAAAATGGGACTTAAAACCAGGCATTGCATAACAACAAGAATATCTGTAGTTGCTAGAAATCCTAGTTTGATCTTCTGTCCTTCATATCAAACTTTATTGAATTATATTCTTTCAGTGTCTATAAGCAACTCAAACACACTATGTCCACACCAAAAACTCAGTATCTCTCTATCAAGCCTGCTTCATTTCTGTTACCTTGTATGTGCATGTATGTATGTATATATGTATGTGTATATGTGTGTGTGTTTGAGTACACAAATTTATGTTTTGGTACCACTGCATAATCATCTACACAGCTGCCCAACCTAAAAACCTAGGAGTCATTTCTGAGTTCTTGTTGCTCCTTGGTGATATATAGCGACTTGGTAATATAGTCTAAACATCTTAAAATAGCCACTTCTCTTTGTCTCTGCATCTTCATGTCACCACCATAGTTCAAACAATAGTTATCTCTAGGCCTCTACCACTAGTTATCACCGCCATTCTTTAGTCACTCTCCACGCTACACATCATGTCCCCTTTCGTACCACCTTGCCACCTTCCAGTGGCTTGCCATTCTCTTTACATGAACTTCAAACTCCTGAAGCTGATTTATAAGGATCTCTAGCCTCATTCTGCCACCTATTCTTTGCATTCTTTGTCTCAGTGATTTTATCTTAAAAAAATAATTTTTATTGATTTTAGAGAGGAAGGGAGTGGGAGAGAGAGATATAAATATCAGTGATGAGAGAGAATCATTGATCGGTTGTCTCTTGCATGCCCCACACTGGGGACCAAGCCTACAACCCGGGCATGTGCCCGGACTGGGAATCTAACCATGCCCTCCTGGTTCATAGGTCAATGCTCAACCACTGACCCATACCAGCTGGGCCTCTTTTTTATTTTTTTTACAGCTTTGTCTACTTAGAACACCATTTTCTTCTCCATCCCTAATTTCTTTGGCTAATCTCTATTCCTGTTTTATTCTGTATATCTCAGTTTAAATATCTCTTCCTCAGGAGAGTCTTCCTGAATTGTAGACTAGTTTTATTTGTTTTTATGACTTCCTGTACTTGTTATAGTCTCTTTCATACCCACTGTCTTCTTAGATCTTAATCTCAGTGAAAAGAGAGACTATATAAGTCTTTTTTAAAAATAAAATTAAAAAAATATTTTTATTGATTTCAGAGAGGAAGGGAGAGGGAGAAAGAGACAGAAACATCAATGATGAGAATCATTCATCGGCTGCCTCTTGGACACCCACTATTGGGGATCTAGCCCACAGCCCAGGCACGTGCCCTGACTGAGAATCTAACTGTGACTTCCTGGTTCGTAGGTCTATGCTCAACCACTGAACCATACTGGCTGGGTGAAACTATATAAGTCGATTTATTTACCACTTTAATCTCAGAGCTTAATAGACTACCTGGTCCTCAGTAGGTGCTCAATAAATAATTGTTGATGATTGACTCTCATTTAACATTGAATCATTACTCTCTAGTGATGAAAGTACACAGGGAAAAATAGAAGTACTAATCATTTTATGTCATTAAAGATTCTAAGGTGTTTTTCACAAGATTAATATATAAAGTAGTGTCAAGAAAAATAGTGATTTTGAGTAATTCTGCTTACTTATCCTCTGTTTTTAATGAAATAGAACAGTGATCAATGTTTATATATATATATATTTTTAAAATCTCAGCATCCCTAAGCACTCTCCCATCAATATCAATGGCTCACAACTACAGTGACAGTAGTTGTCAGTCAGAAGGCTTTTCTGAATCTCAGGTGTGGATTATTTATAGAAAGTCCCTTACTCCCTCTTCCTCATTCAGTTATACCCTCTCTTACCCTGTTGAGAAGCACTAAAAGAGAGTATACTTAACTTTGTGGGTCCTGTTCTTACATATAGTTAAATTTCAGTGTGATAAGAGTCCCCTTACTTGCCTCAAGTTCAGCAGCAAAGGCATCATAGTTGAGACTCAAATTCCACATGCTCATTTAGTTCTTGTTTAAGTTCATACGTTGTAAAAATTAAAACAGATATCAATCTTGTTAAAAGAAAGCAAGTATTCATATTAAACATCAAGAGTTGGAAAAATAATTTCATAGACTGAAACCCAAATTTAATGTATGGAAATTAAGAGGTTCAGTAGAAGCCCTCCTCACTTATGAGTTTGACAGTAGGTAGTTAGTTTAAAAAGTTGGTTAAAGTGAAGAATCATTAAAAATGCTTTGGCCAGTTTGGCTCAGTGGATAGGGTGTTGGCCCTTGGACTGAAGGGTCCTGGGTTCGATTCTGGTCAGGGGCATGTATCTTGGTTGCAGGCTTGATCCTCCATCTCGGTCCCGGAGGCAACCAATTCATGTGTCTTCTCCCATCGGTGTTTCTCTCTCTCTGTCTTTCCCTCTCCCTTCCACTCTCTCAAACAAAGAAAAAAAAAATCAATGGAAAAATATCCTCCAAGATTAACAACAAAATATACATTATCTTAAACAACGCATTTAACCTAAAACACAGAAATGCATGCTCAATCTCCAGTCTTAATTTTGGGCAAAGCATTTTTAGGGTATGGTTTCCTTGACTGAGTTCTTCATCTTTCTTATATATATCACATCTTTAATGCATCATCTGTGATTTTCAGTTTCAGTTTCCTTAAAGTAGAATAGGAACATTAGATCTTAGTGGCTTCACTATGTCTAAAAATCTTTCTAGGCTTTTATGATTTTTTTCCTCCAAGATTTTTTAGCATTTTCTCAGGCATCTTTATTGTCTCTTAAAAGCTTATGATCCAGTTTTTGTACTGTTTCTCTCTATGCTTTCATATTTCATCAGTTCATATATTTTTAATTTAAATTTTCTAATTATAACAAAAACAACAATTTATATGAACAGAAATGAAAACTGACTCTGGATAAGCATATACATATTAGGCTCTTATACTAGGCTTTTAATACTAACCATTCTGTAAATTATGGCTATTAGGGTATTTTACAGTGGGATTTGGTGGCTTGTTTGTCCAGTGAATCAGTTTAATTGGAATTAGTTAAGAGAGCTAATGCATTTGCGATAACTTCTATTAGTAAAGATTTTGTAAAAAAAAAAAAAAGATTTTATATAAGCATACCCCCTCTCCAGCAATGTATTTACATTTTGAGGATTTTGCCCTGGCCTAGTAGATCTGTTGGTTATAGCATCATTCTGATATACGAAGGTTGTGGGTTCAATCTCTGGTCCGGGCACATACAAGAAGCAACCAATGAATGCATAAATAAGTGGAACAACAAATCGATGTCTCTGTCTTCCTCCCTCCTTTCCTCCTTTTTTCTTTCTCAAATCAACAAAAAAAGATTTAAAAACTGAAACTGTAAAAAATGTTTTTGAGGACTTTTTTAAGGCTTAAGTTTATGTGTGTTTTCTGTTCTTTCATTTTTGAAATACTGTTTTTGCTAAGAAATTGTATTTACATATTCTTTGAGTAGAAAGTAATTAAATATATAGTTTAAATCACAGATTTGATAGCTAAGATGGAATGAGATTAATCTGGGAATAAAAATATTTATTGATTTGGACTGAAATATTGCATTATGTCATTGGAGTCAAGAAAATAATATCTACACTAATAAAAGAGAAACATGCAAATTGGTGTCACTCTGCTATGCCCACTAGCCAATCAGATGAGTATGCAAATTAACCCAACAAAGATGGCGGTTAATTTGCATTCACAGGTGTGGAGCGAAGACTGTAGGCGCTAGCTGGAGTGAAGACTGAAGACTGAAAACTAAAGAGGCTTGGCTGCAGCAGAGAAGCCAAGCCTCACTGCGGGCCACAGCGGAGAAGGCAAGCCTCGCTGTGGCCGCAGTGGAGAAGCCTAGCCTTGAGGCTTGGCTTCTCTGCTCCGCTGGACCAAAGGCCTGGGTCCCGGGTGCTGGAGGGAAACCAGTGCTGGCAGCCAGGGGAAGGAAGGCCTATTGCGTGAATCTTCGTGCAACGGGCTTCTAGTGGTTTTATAAACATAGTTAACTCAATATCGTATAATATGTTGGACATAATAGTAAACATTATTATAATGTGCTAAGTATTATGTTAACATTTCATTTAATTCCCTTAAGGTAATGTCTTTTTCCATTTTACAGATGTGGAAATTTATTCAGAGTCTAACATGTTTAAAGCCATGTAGATATTAAATGGCAAACTTGGTTTGAATTTAGGTGTCTCTGAATCTAAAGTATATAATCTGTATCCTTGTAAAGTTTTTTTTAAACTTATTTTTGGGCTGTGTGTGTTTGTTTTAGATGAAGAAAATAGTTTACATGTGGTAGTGAACTGTGGAGAAGCATTACTGAAGAATAACACTTATTGGCCTCTTGTCAGTGATTTTATTAATATTCTTTCTCATCAAAGTGTGGCTAAGAAATTTTTGGAAGACCATGGTCTGTTAGTTACATGGATGAACTTTGTATCTTTCTTTCAAGGTATGAATTTTATTTTTTTTTGTTAATTTCTTTAGTTTACCAAATGCCTAATGCGGAGCTATCAACTACTAATTAAAAGATAATAGCACATTATTTGGTTACATGTGAAGTGTCTCATTTTAATTATTTGATATTTGTAAATACTTTAATAAAGTATTCATGAAGATACATCAGAATTATGAAAATGTCAAAATATTAAAAAGGAAACAGGAGAATAAGAATGTAATTTTAGTATTTTAAACCATTATTCTGGAAGTTTCTATTCTCTAAGAAGATTCATAATGCTTTCATAAAAATTTCAACTAGCATCAATTAAAATAATTTTAACTTTTTAATTTAATACATTCAATTATGTTATATAAGAGACAATTTGCAAAGTATTTATAAGGAAATCTAGTTTGTAAAGAATTCCAAAAGGACTAGATTGTTATATTTTTAATAATTTACTTATTTCTATACATATTGCTATTTGTATGTATATTAGGATATGTTTGGTACTAGGAAGTATTTGATTTTTAATAGGAAATCTTATTTTCATTAATAAGGCTTATATCTGTTTTAATTTTTGTAAGGTATGAACTTAAACAAGCGAGAACTAAATGAGCATGTGGAATTTGAGTCTCAGACCTACTATGCTGCCTTTGCTGCTGAACTTGAGGCATGTGCACAGCCAATGTGGGGGCTTTTATCACATTGTAAAGTGAGGGTATGTTAATTTTTATTAATTTCTATAAATACCTTTACAATAATTAATTAAGAAAAAAGATGTGAAGACATTTATTTGTATACATATGTATAATAAGGTTGCAATGTTTAGTTCTGAACTCACCTCTATGAAAGCTGACTTGAGACAGTAACTATTTTTCTTAGACAGGCTGGACTTCATTTATATTATCAAATCTTTCCAGCCTTCCCTTGTTGTGAATATAAATCTCTGCCCTCATTTTTATTGTTTCATTTTATCCATTATCAGTTAGTTGCCTTATTTGTCTTGTCTTTCAAGGGATGAGGATAGTTATCAATAAAGTTTACACTTTTAAGATTCCAAGCACAAAATCAGCATACATTTTATACAAATTCCAGTTGTTTATAAACAAAATCTAACGGTAACATAGCAGCAACATAAGTTCTTTTAATTGGATAAGAAAATGCTTATTTGTAATTGTGTGTATTAATGTCTTTCTATACAAACACATATTTTACTTTTGCATTTTGAAGTATTGGTTTGATGGGACTCCAGAATCCTTGGATAATCCAGAAAAACAGAATTCCCCAATCCTTAAACTAAGAACTTGACTAAGATTTTGCTATATGGATACCAGGAAGTCCAGCCTGCATACCTGTACCAATAAGCATGCTGTACAAGATTTTATAGTAGAAATATTTTGAAACTCTGGGTTCCGGTTGGGCACTGCCTCTTTCTGCTTAGGTGACTTGGCCTGCTCATTTTAAACTACTTGACCTTCGCAGTCTCAGTCTTTATCCTTATTTTTAAAAAAGCAAAATGAAGGACAGCAAAGCCTGAACTTCTTCACAGGGTTATTATGAGGCTCTCTTCCATATACTCTTTAAGTGTATATGTTTCTTTAAGCAGATTTATATTTTCTCTCATGACTTCAGCTATTTTCTAAATGCAGATAACTCACAACTTGATTGCTGTCCTGCTAGGTTCAAATTTCCAACAGCTCTGGCTACTCATGTAGATAGATCTCCTTATTAGGTACACGTTTTCTCCGGTCCCTAACTAACTTCTAAAATCATCTGTTCATATTGCGCTCTTTATGTTACTTAATGGTATCTTAAATGATGCGATTAGCTAGTATAGAACCTTCTCCCATTGCTGTACCAGCCTTGTTTAACCTGTATAAGATGCCATGAATTCTCTCTTCCATTCCAGAAATATCTCCCTCCCACTTCTTTCCTCTGTCTTAATTTACTTCTGTATATTTAAAAAATCTGGGTTGTTAAGGCAATTTCTTAAATTGTTTTTCTGCCTTTGATTCTTCTTTTTGTAATCCATTCCAATGTTTAAGTTACTTTTCTAAGTTCTGTGGATATCTCTTCTCTGCTTAAAAATTACTCAACTTCTCATCTGTCTCCAGGATAATGTTTGAGTTTTCTATAGAGATTTAAGATTCCACACAATTTGCCCTCAACTTGTTTCTCTTAATTCACGTTCCTACCTACTTGCCTTCATTGGATTACCATTCCTCAGCATGCAATGTTCTTTTTAAAAAATTTAACAGTCATGTCTCTTACTTTACTAATTCTCAAAATGTATGGTTCCTTTTTACATACATACACAAACACTTTTAAAAATAAATACAAAATTCAAGAGAATCAGATGGATAGATAAATTCAGGAAGCCAAATTCAGTAAAAAAGAAAAGGACAGTCACCAAATTTTAGAAATGACCTTCTGAGGCATGTGCACAGCCAATGTGGGGGCTTTTATCACATTGTAAAGTGATAAATCTGGACATTGAGCTTGATATGTTATTTTAAATGTCCCATGTCACATGGTCCACAAGGTTTTCCTTCAGGATTCTGAAGTAATCAGTAGCCATACTTGTTATTAAGATGGGTTCCGTCATCTCCACTTTGACCTTGAGGTGGCACCCACACATAGTAGTTTGGGAATTTGGAGGAAAGTGTTGGGAGAAGTTTACCTGGACCGGAGCTTTCCTTTTCTTCAATTGATCTCCGTTTTCCTCATATTCATTCTTTGATGTTGAGGGTTCCTCACAGCATGCCTCTGTTTTACCAATATCTTGATAATCTTTATTCTATTCCATTTGGCTGAGTAGAAACATGTTTCCATGCTGTTTCGTTTCTTTAAAACATGTGAGATCTGTGGGAGGGCTTGTTTTCTGCACTGCTTCCTCTGACCCTCTCTCCTGATGTAGTTTACTGCTTCCAGCCTCCAGTTATTTTTTTTCCTCCCCGATCCTTCCTTTTTTCAAAAATTTTTATCTTTATTGTTGAAAGTATTACAGATGTCCCTAGTTTTCCCCATTGACCCCCTCAACCCATGACCCACCCCCGAAGGCCATCACCACACTATTGTCTGTGTCCATGTATTATGCATATATGCATTCTATGTTCTTTGGTTAATCTCTCCCCACCAACCCACCCCTGCCTTCCCTCTGAGATTCATCAGTCTGTTCCATGCTTCTGTGTCTCTGGATCTATTTTGTTCATCCATTTATTTTGTTTATTAGATTCCACATATGAGTGAGACCATGTGATACTTTATCTGACTGACTTATTTTGCTTAGCAAAACACTCTCTAGGTCCCTCCATGCTATTTCAAAATGTAACAAATCCTTTTTTCAGCTGTGTAGTATTCCATGGTGTAGATATACCACAATTTTTTTATTTGCTCATATACTGGTGGGCATTTTGACAGTTTCCAGATCTTAACTATTATAAATTGGGCTGCTGTGAACATAGGGGTTCAGATATTCTTTCTGAGTGGGATATTCTACTTAAAGTGGGATCACTGGTCAAATAGCAGTTCCATATTTAATTTTTTGAGGAACTCTACAGTGGCTGCACCAGTCTGCATTCTCATCAGCAGTGTACTAGGGTTCCCTTTTCTCCACGTCCTTGCCAGCACTTGTCACTTGTTGATTTGTTGATGGTAGCCATTCTGACAGCTGTGAGGTGATATCTCATAGTTGTTTTAATTTGCATCTTTCTGATGATTAGTGATCTTAAGCATTTTTTTTCATATCTCTTGTCCACTTAGGCGAGGTGCTTTGCCAGATTTTTAATTGGATTGTTTCTCTTCCTTTTGTTAAGTTGTATGAGTTCCTTATATATTTTGGAAATTAATCCCTTATCAGATATATCATGGGCAAATATATTCTCCCATACAGTGGGCTCCCTTTTCATTTTGTTGATGGTTTCTTTTGCTGTGGAGAAGCTTTATATTTCGATGTAGCTTCATTTGGTTATTTTCTCCTTTGTTTCCCTTGCCCTAGGAGATGTATCTGTAAAACATATTGTCATGGGAGATGTCTGAGATTTTGCTGCCTATGGTTTCTCCTAGGATTTTTATTGTTTCACAACTTACATTTAAGTCTTTTATTCATTTTGAGTTTATTCCTGTGTACTGTATAAGCCGGTGGTCTAGTTTCATTTTTTTGCATGTACCTGTCCAGTTTTCCCAACACCATTTATTGGAGAGACTTTCTTTACTCCATTGTATGTCTTTGCCTCCATTGTCAAATATTAATTGAGAATAATTGCTTGAGTTGATTTCTGGGTTCTCTGTTCTGATTCATTGATCTGTTCTTGTGCCAGTACCAGGCTGTTTTGATTACAGTAGCTAAGTTTGTTGTGGCTATTTGTATGTTTTTTTGGTTCCATATAAATTTTTTGAGTATTTGTTCTAGATCTGTGAAATATGCTGTTGGTATTTTAATAGGGATTGCATTGAACCCATAGAATGCTTTGGGTAGTATGGACATTTTAATGATGTTAATTCTATCAATCTATGAACAAGGTATATTCTTCCACTTGTTTATATCTTCCTCTATCTCTTTTCAGTGTCCTGTAGTTTACTGAGTACAGATCTTTTACCTCCTTAGTTAAGTTAATCTTAATTTTTTGTTGCAATGGTAACTGGGATTTTTAAAAAATTTCTCCTTCTGTGAGTCCATTATTGGTGTATAAAAATGTTGATTTCTGGATGTTAATTTTATATCCTGCTATATTTCCAAATTCATTTATTAAATCTAGCAGTTTTTGTGTGGAATCTTTAGGGTTTTATATGTATAATATCATATCATCTGTGAATAATGACAGTTTTACTTTCTTTCTGATCCTCCTTTTCTTTCTCCTCTTTCCCCTCTTCTTCTACTTTAGGCTCAGCCTTCATTCTCATTAGAATTGGCGGGAGTTCAGGATGCTTAGGGGGTATCTTTCCTACTGTTCCAGTTTTTAATTTGAATTTGTGTTCTTCTTTCATGACACCAAAGAAAGAAAGATGTAAACTTTTTAGCTTATTTTTCAGCATCTATAGTCTGACTTTTAGTCCTTTTTAGTTCCAGAATCTCTGCTGGCTTTACAGTTTTTGTCAATCCTTTAAGTCTCTGTTGTTCTTTCCTCAGTTCAAAAGTTATCAGGCGAAGTTTCTTCCAGGACACACCATCCAGTGCATTCCCTGTCCATTTAAGACATGAATGCATCTAAAGAGTCCTGAGGTGGTGACTGACAGAGCTTTGCTTGAGGCTTTCAGTCTCTCAGAAGTTTCAGAGTTCTTTTTCAGCATCATTCAACTTTGCAACCAATGATTCAAAGGTCTCTGGCTTCTCATCAAATCTTCCCAGCCTTCTTCATTTAGTCTAGAAGCTTCTTCTTAACCACGCCAGTCCAATCAAGAAATATGTCATCATCATTGTCATAAAAGTCTTCCTCTTCTCAGTTCTTCACTTTCCTTTTGTGAGACACTGTCTCCTTCCTCAGAAATCCCAAAGTATCGAGGATTGGACAGGCTTCCAGTGAGCACTGGATCATCGCTTCTTTTTTCTTTCCCGAGTGTATAGCCTCAGCCACCAATTGTTTTCCAGTGGAATCATCCACAGGTAATCTAACCCTGTAAAGCCAAGTGCTGTGTCCCTGTTTATCAAATTCATATTCTATTTTTCAGGCAAAAATAAACCTTTGGAGAACCTTTTTTGGATACTTTATATAAAAGGCC